CCAATTCCTCCCTAAAATTTGTCTAAGGAGATGGTTTAAGAAGTCCATTGTAGATGCTCTTAGCTAGATGTTTTGCAACTTCAAGGCTAATGTGGGCGACCCATTTAGCCTATCTTCCTTAAGAATTGAACCTCCGAGATGTGAAGAGTCTAAATGGATTTTGCTATAAAATAAATGAAAAGAGAATAGTTGGAGGCCAGACCATTTATATTATGGAAATGGCCATAGTACACTCAGTATAATCACCTGCCTAGGAGTGAGAATTTGGGATCATAAGGATTGTGCGATATGCCCATCCTTTATAAGTACATACCCAATAGGGGCCTTAAAACAGGCTCAACCACTATGGGATTGCTACATATAGAGTCTAATGCAACAAATGTATCCCCAATGGAATGCATTTAGGTTTATAAATCTTAGAGCCCAAGCGGAGCTAGCTGGATATATAGAAACCTTCATAGAGCTCAAGTGGGACCTAATTGCTGCAAAGTTGACACTTAAGTTAGTAGTATCGTTTTACTCGCCCTTCCATGCTGGAAGGATGGATCTACACTAAAACATTCACACATGTTGGTTAACAGATCCACGAGAGTTCGGTCTAATGTGCTTTAAACCAAGCATGCATGTATGACACATTCATAAGACCACCAGCTCTGGCGTGAACATACAAATGAAGAACTTGATCGATATTGTCTCTTGGTCATTACCTACCACGCGCGCCTTTGGCAAGTTCATAGGATAACTGAGTGTAACCCATATATTGACTGGGATATTGTAAACATCGCCTTTATAAAAAACATAAATTGTGAAATCAATCACCAAAACCACAAGTTCTCCTATTTGAAACCTACCTCTCGTCAGACCTAAGTAAGGGAACTGAACGAGCAAATAGAAGACACCGTTGATGATCATGGGCTTATGTTATACGGGGTAAGGAATGTGGCCTTAACTTAATTCAATAGTTGCATGCTCAATGAGCTCTAGCTGGAGGGCTAAGTTTGGCTCCAGAATAAGAGAGTGAAAAAATAATATTGACGGCTAGTCCATAGGAAGAGCTAGTCAAAAAAGGAAGAGCTAGCCAAAAGAGGAGGATAAGCTTGTTATAGTGACGATGAGAATATAGTGAAATGGCGAGAGATTTACGTTGTTTGAAGTTCTAGATGGATTCTTGGGAACTTTAGGAAGAGAAGCTTGTTATGGTGATAAGGAGAATATAATCAAATGGTGAACGAGTTATGTCACTAGAAGCTTTAAACACAAAGGCATGTAGAAGGCCAGTGAAATTTAGGATTTTTGGCTGCCAAGACAACCATAACAATTGAAATGATAAAGGGTGACTGGTGGGTTAAGTAATACCAACTTTTTCACAATCGTGTTAATTGCGGGTTGGGGGCTCAAGAAATTACTCTAGTAAGGTTATCTCCAATGGGGGCCCTAAAAGGGTCTCAAACACCATTGGTTTACTACATATAGAGCCCAATATGAAAAAGGCATCCCAAATGGATGAATTTGGCTCTTTAAAGCATAGAACCCAATCGAAGCTAGTTGGATATATGGAGACCCTCATAGAGCCATAAAGCAAGAGTGAGCCATAGCTGCTGCAAAGCTGATGCAAAAGTCAGCAACATCGTTCCACTCACCTACCCTTGCCCCTTGTTGGAAGAGTTTGTTTACACTAAAACATTCAAACATGTTATTTACCAGACCCACAAGAGTTCAGTCCGAGCGTGCTTCGAACCAGGCATGCATGTACAACATATTTACAAGACCACCAGCTCGAGCATCGACATATAGATGAAAAAACTTGATTAACATTATAAAAGGCGAGAATTATGCCATCGATTACCAAAACCACAGGTTCTCATGTCTAAAACCTATCCCTTGTCAAACCTAAGGAAGGGAACTGAATGAGCAAATCGGCAAAATCGCTGATGATCATGAGCCTATGTTTTTCAGGGTAAGAAATGTGGCCCTGACCTATTTCAGTAGTTCCATTCTTAATGAACTCTTGATGGAGGAATAAATTTGACTCTAGAATGAGAGAGCGAAAAAAAATCTTGACGACTAAACTAAGTAAAGAACTAGCCAAAAGAGGAAGATACGCTTGTTATGCCGTTAGAAGTTCTAGAGAGATTCTTGGGAACTTTAGGAAGAGAAGCTTGTTATAATGATTAGGAGAATATAGTGAAATGGTGAATGAATTATGTCTTTAGAAGCTCTAGAAAGAAAGGTAGCTGGAATGCAAGTGAACTTTAGGGTTTTTTTTGTTGCCAAGACAACCATAAGAATTCAAATGATAAAAGGTGGCTAGTGGATAGTAATGAAGCAATACCAACCTTTTACCAACTTTGTTAAAGATGGGTTGGGGACTCTTGAAATTACTCTTGTAAACCATCCCTAATAAGGGCCTTAAAAGAATGTCAACCACCATGATGTTGCTACATATAGAGCCCCAATGTGAAAAGGTATCCCAAAATTAAGGGCCCATTTAGTATCCTATTTGGATCCAATTTGTTAAACTCATAAACAGATTTTAAGTCCTAAGTCATAAAAACTCGTTTGGTAGGCTCACCCTATTATTAAAAAAAGAAAAGAAAAGGGGTGAAGTTTTCCTTTCTCTCTCCCCCCCCCCCCCCCCCCTATTATTAAAAAAGAAAAGAAAAGGGGTGAAGTTTTCCTTTCTCTCTCTCCCCCCCCCCCCCCCCCTCTCCCCTCCCTCCCTTTCCTTTTTCTCCCTTATCCACACTAGCCTTTGCTTTCTTATTGCCTCTCTATTGTTTACTGTTAGGTTGTTTTTATTTTTTTCATTGTTGACTTGGGCAGCACGTATTGTTCTATCCTTTCTCATCTCTCTCCTCCCTTTTTTCAATTTTTTTGTTGTTGATTTCAAATTAGGAATCTAGGGTTTTTTTATTTTAATTTCAATTTTTTTTGGATCTTAAAAATTGTTTGGAGTTCAATACTAAACAAGTTTTAAAATCTTAAATTAGTATTTAAAAACTCATATTTTTTAAATAAATCATAATTTTGTGTATGATACCGAACATGCCCTAACGCATTTGCATTTCTCAATCTTAAAGCCTAACCGAAGCTAGCTCGATATATGGAGGCCCTTATAGAGCCATTGAGCAAGAGTGGGCTCTAGTTGCTGCAAAGTTGACGCAAAAGTCAGCATTAGTATTCTACTTGCCCTCCACATGTCAGTTGCCATACCCACAAGAGTTCAGTTCGAGTGTGCTTCGAACCAGGCATGCATGTACTACACAGTTATGAGACCACCAGCTCTAAAGTTGACATACAGATGACATAACTTGATCGACATTGTATATTGATCATTAGCCAACATGTGCGCCTTCGGCGAGTCTATATGATAAGAATGAAACCCATATACTGACTGAGATGTTGTAAACATCATCTTTATTAAAGGCTAGAATTATGTCATCAATCACCAACTGGATGACATTGATGATGATCATGGGCCTATGTTGTTCAAGGTAAGGAATGTAGCCTTGACCTATTTTAGTAGTTGTATTCTCAATGAGCTCTCGTTTGAGGGCTAAGTTTTTCTTCGGAATAAGTGAGCGAAAAAAGAATCTTGTTAGAGTAAAAAGTTACTTGAAAGATAAAATAGCTAGCCAAAAGAGGAAGATAAGCTTATTAAAGCAAATTTAATGGTTGTATGTATATGTCGATGTATGTTAAATTTAGTTCCAAGTTCACCAGAAAATCCTCCAATAAGGAGATGTAAAGGGAATGCATATATGCATATTCCCCGGAAGTTGCAAAAGAGATGCACAATTGCATTCGAGCTTGTTGGCCCAGCTTAATGGTGCAAGGAGATAGAGGAGAGAAGTTAATAAAATATGGGCAATTGCATAGCACTCAAGCAATTTGATGCGCAATAAATGATGTAGTTGTAGACAATGCCAATGTGTGGGACTTATTGGAGAAATCTTGTGGGCCTCTGACGTCAACCCATTGAGTGGGTCTTCAACTGCTCCTTTGACTCCCAAATGGGTATTTATCCAATGGTTGTAGTTAATCCAATTTCAAAACAAAAGGCCTAGATTTCTTCTCACTTTCCCTAAATTATAGAGGCAATATAGATTAAATGGCTCATATTTCTTCTTCCATCGTTTATATTGGATGAAATCCTCCGAATTTAAAATTTGTTACATCAATTTTTTTGAAAAAGTAAAATAAACCTACCGCACATAAAACAAAAAAAAAAAACAAAGATTTACATTTCCTCTCCATTGGAGGAAAAACCACATTTACATTCCCCCGAGGTGTAAAAGGGATGTAAATGTGGCTTTACATTCCAAATTTGCATACAACCATTAAAATTGCTCTTACAGCATCTCCATTGGAGAGAGAGGTAAATTTGCGGATGTAAAACCATCTTTACATCCCATTAATATGAAAATAAATTATTTTACATTAAGTTGAGGCAAAATGATATTTATGGTACTTTAGTAACAGTCTCACGTTTTATATGTGTGGAGCCTACCACTTTTCAGCATAAGGGGCCCAACAAATGGGGATGCAAAATCAAATGTAAATGTCCATTTTTTTTAAATACATTTTCTGCCCAAATGCTATATTTTTATTCATTTACACCTCATCATTGGATCAACTTCTGACAACTCTAAGTGTAAATGTCCACTTCCATCTTTCTTCATAGAATCATACAATTCTTATTATTATTTTGTCACTTCTTTTCTACCATTTTGGTTTAATATAGTGCAAAGTTTGTATTGCCAATGCATATTGGTTCACTTATTATTACTTACTTAACTAATAGGTAGTAATTAGTTTTATATTGGTATTAAGGAATTTGAAAGCATAAATTCACTAAGAAAAATACACATTATTCAAAGAAAGAAGCAACATCATGTATTAAGAATGGAAATTACAGCTACCAGTCAAAATATTGTTACAACTAGTTCTACAACAAGTTAACTTGTACAAAATCTAATTATTAGCCATGATCTTCTTCTCTATTGATGAGTATATTTAGGAATGGTTAGTTTGATCCATAAAGGATTTGGACCAGTAGTTCTCCCTACTTCTCCATTATCAACAATATTGAGACCAGAAGTTGACAAAGGCTCTTGTTGGCTTCCAGCAATCTTAGCTTTCTCTACTTCTCTAAATAACTCATCGATGTCAAAGAATAAATTTGTATCCTGATCAGAAGTTGACAAAGGCTCTTGTACGGTTCCAGCAATCTTAGTTTCTTCTACTGCTCCAAATAATTCATCGATGTCGAAGAATAAATTCTGACTTTGATCAGAAGTTGACATAGGCTCTTGTTAGGTTCCAGTGATCTTAGCTTCTTCTACTTCTCCAAATAATTCATCAATGTCGAAGAATAAATTCGGATCCTAATCATAGGCATTCATATTATGTGACCCTATTGATCCTGCTACTTGATTACCATTATTCTCTATTGCTCTATAAAATTGGTCAACATAAAGCCCAAAATTTGGCAAAGCCACTTCTTGGTTTTCTTCAATTTGAGGCAGCTGTTACGATAATAACAACGAAAACTCGTGTTCTAGTTCTTCAAACAATTCATCAATGATGAAGCTTTGATAATTGGTATGGATCAAATATTCTTGATCATAAGCGGCACTTCTGCGATTCTTGCAAGCCTTTTCGAAAATGTTGTATTCATCTAAAAGCCAACCATCGTGGTCCTCAGAAGTCTTGCCATTCTTGTAGCGGAATTTTTGTTTTCTCCATATAAGACGAGGATTAGGGTTAGGCTTTCCTTTAATCTCATCCATCACTTGATCATCTTTGTAAGTTTCAGTTTCGCTCCAACAACTATCGCTGCCAGTCTTAGTTGGATGCTCAAGCCATTTCTCTGGAGATAAGAGACGAAGTAATAGTCTTGGTCATAAAGTTGGTCGCCTCCATAATCTTTCGAAATCTGTGAGGGGTTCACTCATCAAATTCAGAGGCATTTTCACCATCTTGTACGGAAAGAATCCGATGATTTCTTGGGCTATGGGGCGGAATTGGAACTCGACGAGAGAGAGAGAGAGAGAGAGAGAGAGAGAGAGAGAGAGAGAGAGACAAATGTTTTGATCTCAAAAAAGTGAAGTGAACGCAAGAGAAACGAGTGGTATATTTATAAGCCAGCAATTTGGAAACAAGGAATAGTTGTTGGAGGTACTAATAGTTATCCATATCTCGTTTGGAAACTATAGAAATTTGTGAATTTCAACTTAGTCAACAACCACAAAGGAAGTCCTAATAGGCCCAGCCCCGGTTGTTAGATTTAATCTCATCCAACGAATGGGTGCTGTTCATTTTATTATTTTGGGTTGATACTTTTGTTTGTTTAATGTACATTTTATTATTTTATCGCATCCATCCCTTGTTACCTTTTATCGTAGTCACAAATAAATTTCTTTTTGTTAATGTTATTTTGGGTTACCATTGCTTGAATTAAAAAATGTTCTAGATATTTTTAACTTTCATAAAAGCTTACCTAGATACTTTTAAGAAGAGAAACTTGTTATGGTGATAAGTATAATATAGTGAAATGGTGAACGAGTTAAGTCATTGGAAGCTATAGAGACAAAGGTAGCTAGAAGGCCAATGAACTTTATGGTTTTTTTTTGCTACAAAGACAACCGTAACAATACAAATGATAAATGATAACTGGTGGATAGTAATGAACCAATACCAAAACTTTATCACCTATGTTAAAGGCGAGTTGGGGGACTCTAAAAATTACTCTAGTAAGGCCATCCCCAATGGGGGCCTTTAAAGAGCCTTAACCACCATGGGTTTGCCACATATAGCTGGAGCAAGAGTGGTCACTAGCTGCTGCAAACTTGATGCAAAAGTTAACATCATTGATCTACTCACCCACCCTTGCACCCTGTTGGAAGGGTGGGTCTACACTAAAACATACACACACGCTAGTCATTGGACCTAAAAGAGTTTGATATGAGTGTGCTTCGAACTAGGTATGCATGTATGACACATCTACGAGACCACCAGCTCTAGCATCAACATACGAATGACTTAACATGATGGACATTGTCTCTTCGTCATTGGACACCACGTGCGCCTTCAGCGAGTTTGTAGGATAACCAAGTGGAACCTATATATCTATTGGGATGCTGTTAACATCGCCTTTATAAAAGGTAGGAATTGTTCCATCAATCACAAAAACAACAGGTTATCCTTTCTCAAACCTACCCTTAGATAGACCTAAGTATTAGAATTGAATGAGCAATGGATGACATTGCTGATGATCATGGGCCTATATTGTTCGATGTAAGGAATGTGGCCTTGAACTTTTTCAATAATTGCATGCTCAATGAGCTTCATTGGAGGGCTAAGTTTGTTTCCAACATGAGAGAGCATAAAACAATTTTTAAGAATGGTGGAAGAGCTAGGCAAAGGAGGAAGATAGGGTTGTTATGGCTATGGTGAGAATACAGTGAAATGGTGAGATTTTTATATCATTGGAAGTTCTATAGGGATTCTTGGGAACTTTAGGAAGAGAAGCTTGTTGGTGATAAGGAGAATATAGTGAAATGGTGAACGATTTATGTCGTTGTAAGCTCTAGACACCAAGGCAGGTAGATGGCCGATGAACTTTAGTATTTTTTTGCTACTAAGACATACATAACAATTTAAATGATAAAGAGTGATTGGTGGGTAGTAATGAAGCAATATCAACTTTTTACGAACTTTGTTAAATGTGGATTGGGGACTCTTAAAATTACTCTAGTAAGGTCATCTCCAATAGGGGCCATAATAGGGCCTTCACCACCATGGGATTGCTATGAATATAGCCTAATGCAAAAAATGCATCCCTCTAAATCTTAGAGCCCAACCGGAGCTAGCTGGATATATGAAGACCTTCAGAGTGAAAATCCTAGAAAAGAAGGTAATTGGACTAATCTACATGAAATTCTCCTTTTGCTCCTTAGTTTATAGGGATTTAGCAATCATTTACAATTATTGTTCCCTTCCGAAAGCGCATGTTCTTACACGTTACTTGATATATTAGTAAAAGGATAGTTTCTCCTAACGGGATTGTCCCCAAACTTATTTAAGGTACCAAAAGATATAAAATACAGGCTCGCTATTTCGCTATTTTTTCCTTTTCTTCCTATCATTCTACTCTCATCCCCTTGTTTCTTTCTACTTTAATCTTCGTCACAATGCACACACTTGTTCACGATCCTTGTATTTTCTTGTTATAAATTTTAAACATGCACAACATACAACACAAATTGTTTCTTTTGATGGAGATACATATAGATAGCACATATCAATTCACATAGAATTGGAAGTCTTGTGCTCTTGGGCTTGGAGTAGGAGAAGTGTGAGCTCACTTGCTCCCGCACGTGCCATCCATATTGATAGTCCGTAGTCCAAACAACCGATAGTTTTGTTTTGCAAACCCAGCTGCAAGAACAAAACCCCTCTTCCGTTTCCAGGCATCACCGTCCAATAAAACCTTTTACCCTAACCACACTCCCCCTCCCCTCTCTCTACAGAATATGGCCACCGCCCAGCCCACCGAGAACGGCTCCGCGAAGGTTACGGAACCCGACCCGCAGCAACCCACATCCGAAACCACCACCGCCCCAATAACCGTACACGAGTCCGACCAAACAGCCACCACCACAACGGCAGATAACAATCCGAACCAAAATCTCGAACTCGACTCCGGTCCCCAACCGGAGCCCGGCGCCCAGGAAACTACAACGACCGTTAGCGGCGATGCCACCTCAATCGCCGATAAAAGATGGCCGGGTTGGCCCGGGGACTGTGTGTTTCGGCTAATTGTGCCGGTTCTCAAGGTCGGTAGCATTATCGGCCGAAAAGGCGAGCTCATTAAGAAGATGTGTGAGGAGACCCGAGCTCGCATTCGGGTCCTCGACGGCGCCGTTGGAACTCCTGATCGCATCGTGAGTTGTGCCTGTTTTCTCTCTGTGTCTAGGGTTTACTCGTTTTGGTTCTTCATGTTATGTATTCTGAAACGTGCTCTCTTTTGCTGTTGTTGTTTTGAGCTCTAGGGTTTGTGCTTTTTAGCTTCCGTTGGTGCTAGAAATTGTGCTGTCGTCTGTGTAATTGTGGCTTTTTGGTTATTTAGGGATTCTAGTTATGCTTCGGGGTTGCTAAAAGTGTTTGAGGAGATTAAAAATTGAAAATTTAAGTTTAAATCATGCAAATTCAATAGTATTTGTGTCATAAGGTAATAGAAACCGCTAAAGTCTAGTGTCTAGTATTTGGTTCTTAGGTGCTTAGGTTTTGTTGCTTACAAAATGCTATGAAAGGAATGGTCTTTTGGGAGTGGGGGTTTAAGTTTTGGTTTTTAGTTCTAAAAGACACCCCAAACAATCTGAAATCTGAGAATGGGGCTTAATCAGTATTGGGTATTCTGCTATTTGAAGATGATCCCTTCTCATAGTTTTATTCGAACACTCAATCTATTAGCAATGGGCATAGGATGAGTATGAGAATGAGACAATCTGTATCTGGTGTTCTTCTATGTGAAGATGACCCATGTTTGAAAAATCTTTTGGATCTGTTTCATAGGCTTATAATGGGCATAAGATGAGTAACTGCTGTGAATATTTATAAAGATCTGGTTATACAATCTCAAATCTGAGAATAAGACTTCTTGAGTATTCTACTATGTGAAGATGACCCACTATCAGCAAAATCCTTTGTATCCCTCTCATAGTTTTATTCAAGCATTCAGTTTGTTAGTAATGGGCATAAGATGAGTAACAGCCTTAAATTTTTATGAACATATTGTTATAAAACAATATGAAATCTGAGAATGACACTTGATCAGTATTGGGTATTCTGCTAGGCAAAGATGACCTGTTGTCATGTGAAGTCCTTTGCATCTGGCTCATAGTTTTATTCAAACGCTCAATATATTAGTAATGGGCATAATATGAGTAAGTGTCTTGAATTTTTATAAACATGTAGTTATAAAACTAAATCTGTATTTTTGTTTCTAAGAATCGTCTGATTGATAGTAATAAGATTTGATACCTTCGTAACAGATTTTCCATGGTTGTCAATATCATGAAACCATATTAACTTCTTTACCAATGCTGCAGCCCTGATTACTTTTTCAACCATCATAGTTTTTTCTTGCTTGCTTGTACCAATCTCTTGTTCTGTACCTTCTCTACCTGTGGAAGTCTCACTCCACAATTTACTGGTTGTGGGCCTTCCTTGCACTTGCTTGGGTGAGATAGCGCTCTGCGTTTGCACACGCTTTTGTGCTTTTTAGTCTTGTTTAGTGAATTATGTCGGTGGAACTTCGCTAATTTCTGTTGCATTAGTGTTGGATATATGTTCAAATTTCATTAGTACTCCATTCGTAGTAGGTGGTGTTTCTTTAATAGGAAACAAAATTTCACTAAGAAAGAGAAAGTACAAAACAATGGACAAAGTGTCCACAGTAGTAAAGAACAAGAGAGCTCTAAAAAAACACCAAAAAATTTAAAAACAAAAGCGATCTAAGAACAAAAGCCCCGTAAACAGCTGCATATTTTTCAAAAAAATTGCACAGAAAGCAAACAAGGGGATTGAAGTTTCCTTTGCTTTCATTGCTTTCATGTTCTGCTCCTGAGGTGACACAGTCCTCCGACTATTCCACACATGCATATCCCCTCAACCAGACATTATGTCTACAATTATCCCTTCACTAGACATGTGTCTACGGTGATACCATTCTATGTTAAAATCTTTCTAACACACTTTTCTTTTTAGGTGCTGATCTCTGGAAGGGAAGAGCCAGAGGCTCCTCTGTCCCCTGCAATGGATGCTGTAATAAGAATATTTAAACGTATCTCTGGCTTAGCTGATAGTGAGGGTGATGCAAAAGTGTCCGGTCCTGCTGGAGTTGCATTCTGTTCCATCCGCTTGTTGGTAGCATCCACACAAGCAATTAATTTAATTGGAAAACAAGGGTCATTAATCAAATCTATACAGGAGAGTACCGGGGCTTCTGTGCGAGTATTGTCTGGGGGTATGCTCTTATTGTTGAATAATACAACTTTTCTCTATTCAGTAGAATATCAATGGTTGGAAATATCTCCATCATCTTATCACCTTTTTCCCAATGCAAAGTATAATGTGTTTGTTGCTGTTTATGTGGTTTATAATGAAATTAAGTTCTCATGTGTGGGTTTTCCTTTCCAATTACTTTTGTGATCTTACTTTTGGAGGCTTAGATTTTCTGTTGGTAATCTAGGTTTAATGAACATGCGAGTGAAGATAATTGTATTGATGTGCTTAATATAGTGTGTAATTTAGCTTACATTCTGCTCCCTCTTCCTTTCTGGCATCTGAGTTCTAGGTCAGTTTTCCATGTTAGAGTCCTTTAACTTCGGAATGTATGATGGGTATGTAAATATGTGATTCTAAATCACAGTATGTCTTCATATCATGTTTTGCAGCCACTCTTAAAATATTTGATATAGCTGTTAATTTGAAAAACAAGCCTTGATTATATTTGTTATCCCTTTTAGAAATGCTCTACTCATCCTTCTTCAATCAGTGTATTCAGATTCTTTATAATTTGATTCAACTAATGTCTCTGTCCCTTTTTTCCTGTATTCACATTCGTTTTCTGTCTCAAGTGGCCTTACCTTTTTCCATGCTATAAACCTTTCTTCCTTCTCCAAAGAAGGCATCTGATACTTATTTTTGTTATTGCAGATGAGGTTCCATTCTATGCTGCTGCAGACGAAAGGATTGTTGAATTGCAGGGAGAAGCTTTAAAGGTTCTCAAAGCTGTAGAAGCAGTAGTGGCTCACCTGAGGAAGTTTTTGGTTGATCATAGTGTTCTTCCACTTTTTGAGAAGACGGTAAGCTTAATTCCCATTAGTGTCTGGTGTAATTTCATTTCTTTGCATTGCTATGTATTGATTATTGGAACGTGCATCTTTAGTACAATGCAACCATCTCACAAGAGCGCCAACCAGATACCTGGGCTGACAAATCGTTGCTGCATACTGCTTCTCAAACGGGAGTTAGCACTAATTATTCTCTCTCAGCAAAAAGGGAATCTTTGTTTCTGGATCGTGAAACTCAATTAGAATCACAACTCCCTTCCGCTGGCATTTCACTTTATGGAAAAGATCCTTCTATCTATGGAAAAGATCCTTCTATTTATGGAAAAGATCCATCTATTTATGGGCAAGATCCTTCTATTTATGGACAAGATCCTTCTCTTTCTTCTATCCGTTCTTCAGGGATTGGTCGGCCTGGTGCTCCTATTGTTACTCAGGTTGGTTGTTCTAACCGTTTCATATTTTAGCTTAACTTCCTACTTAATGAGCTCATTTGGGTTTTCACATGCATGCTCAATACACAAAGGCAGTCTAGCTTGGTTGTAACTTGTAATTAAAATAAATGGGGCCAAGTGTGTTTTTTGTGCTTTGCTAGAAGGATGGTTGGGGATCCGTTACTGTCTAGTCCTTGACTTAATTTAGTTTTGTGTCTTACCGACTTACTCGTCTATTTGAGAAATAAATTGTCTTGATGTATGACGTATTGTGAAGATTTGTTGTCAATCAGAAACCTAAAGTGTACCAGATTGCATCAGGCCTGTGCTACGTACATCAGTTTCTGCATGCATACTCTGATTGTTCTTGAAAACAAATTAGAGTGCAATATTCTGCTTCATATTGTTGTACTTTCTTTCTCTATTTATAGTTTTGGTAACAATATTTTCTCCGTTGCATTCTATAATCAGATTGCACAAACAATGCAAATTCCTCTATCTTATGCCGAGGACATTATTGGGGTTGAAGGTTCAAATATTGCATTCATTCGCCGTAGTAGCGGAGCCATCTTAACTGTGCAAGAGAGCAGGGGACTACCTGATGAAATTACCGTAGAAATAAAGGGCACCTCATCACAGGTTCAAATGGCTCAGCAACTGATTCAGGTATGCTTACCAATGATCTTTCTTTTCCATTTATATCTAGTAAAAGAAGGGATTAACAAATTTTTAAATTTATTTTATATAAAATATCTGTTACATCACTTTGAGATAATTAAAGATGAAAGTTGTATTTACCAAAAAATAAAAAAATTATGAAGGCTTATATAACTACGATGTTTTAGTTACAGAAGGTGGGTGGTTTCCTGGTTTATATGTAAATTTCCCATTAGAAAAAAGTTTGCATATATTTGGCAAGCCAGCAAAAATGAAAAACTTGTGACTTCAATAGGGCCCCTGCTTGGAAAGTTTAAGCATACTGGTTTTTTTTTCCTCTTCATTTTCAGGAAGTTATAAACAGTCGCAAGGAACCAGTTACAAGTAGCTATGGCAGGCTAGATACTGGAATGAGGTCATCCTACAGTCAGTTAGGTGCTTCATCTTACCCTTCATCTTCATTACCGTCACAACCGTATGGTGGTGGGTATGGATCTTCTGGTCTAGGAGGAGGCTACAGCACTTTCAGGCTTTGATTTGATTGCTAACCAAAAGACTATTAGTGGCTTCTCTGCTTGGACCAACAAGTTATTTAGTCCGCATATTAGAGAAAAAATTGATGTCCGGAGTGTAGCATTTGTAAAGTTGCCAGAGGAAAGGGGTCAACAATGTCATCTGATATCATCAGATTTGATCGGTTGGGTAGCCAAGCTTGAAAGGGATATAGAAGAAAATTGTATTGAAATAGTAGTGATTTTCGTTTTCCTTCATGAATTTGTGCATTAAGCATTAATTTTGAAGTTAAATGAGGCTGTTGCATTTGTTTTTTTTTCCCCTCTGTTAATTTTCTCAACTTTGATGTGCAATAGTTTTGCTTTTTTTTATTTTTTAAACTCTTGAATTTGTTTGTTACAATCGCAAAACTGATCCTTTCACCCAAATGCCCTCTTTTCATTCCCACAAATTTATCATCACATAAGAAGAGATGTTAATCATTATCAAGAGAAAGAATTGAAGCATGCTGTTTCTACGAGAAGATGGTTTATAAAGATACTTATGTTAACGTTCTAAAGCATGTTTAGCAAAAGGGGAATGATCACTAGCATAACATGCGTCATCTTGATCTGTATATGCCAATGGCCATATGGTCTAGTGTCATTCCGTCTTCATTTTGCTAATTCCAAATCCAAGTGACATTCAGTCTTTATTTTGCTAGGTCCTAACCTAAATTCAAATCTTATAGACGATAGTTTGATTGTTGAAACAAGAAGATAAAGAAACATGTAATAACAATCATCCGATCGAGCTAAATTTGAACATTCGGTGTGGTACTAAAATGTCTACTTAGATTCATCCAATAATTTGAGTCAATAGCGTAATCACACTTTGATACATATGTATAAAATTAAATTATTATTATTTTCAATAATTTCAGTATACGCGATTTGCACGTAAGGAGGGATGAGCCCAACAAAGTTCAGGTTATTTATTTAGATTAGAGTGTGACTTATTTGAAAGGTCCCAGTGTTCAGCTGCACTTGGAGTTTGAAATGAGAAGACAGCATTCCTTGTCAAGTTGTCATATAATAAGACGATATAAACGGGCGTTATCTACAACCTTCTCTTTTTGAAACCACTCATCCTGGCATTCTAGGAAAGGAGAAAGGCCTTGTTCAAATCATTTGCTCTCAAATTCAAAAGAAAAAAGAAATGCCGACGTTGAATTTGTTCACAAATCTGCCAGTGGATGCAGTGGTGGCCTCTGACATTCTCAAGGACGCCACCAAAGCCGTTTCTAAAATCATTGGCAAACCCGAGTCTGTTAAGTCTCTCCCTTTTCCCTCTTCTTGTGTTCTTTTTGTTGATGTATTTGGTATGAACATAAACTGTTCGATGAAAATACTCAATGAAATAGTAAACTTGATCAATATGGTATTAGTGGCTTGTATTATAAATTACATATTCACTTTGTTTTTTGGTTTCATATTCTTCAGTATGTGATGATTTTGCTGAACGGGTCAGTGCCTATGGCATTTGCGGGCACGGAAGAACCGGCAGCCTACGGAGAATTAATCTCCATTGGGGGCATTGGACCGAGTGTTAATGGAAAACTGAGTTCAACTATTGCAGAAATTCTGGAAACCAAGCTTTCCATCGATAGCTCCCGCTTCTATATCAAATTTTATGACGTTGAGGTGAGCCCAATTACTTGTTTGTTACATTAGATTGCCTAAATTTTGCAGCTTCAATCTACATGTCGTATACTAGAAATGTAGAATATTACTCTTCATTTATCTGGCCTTCCAAATATTACCCTTTTCTGTGGTAGTTCTAGTTCTAGTGGTAGAGCACTTTATCTCCAAACCTACGAGAAGAATTTGATTATTGTCCTAACCAGTGGAAGAATTAGCTTCCATTTCTTGGGAAGGAACAGAACAATACATATCTATTGCTTGGGAAGTCATTATTTAATATAGATTTTTCTATATTTTTCAAACAATTAAACAAGTTTAATATAAATTTTACATGAAATGCTAGAGTTTAGAAGGGTCACAGCCACTTCGGGCTGAAGTGTGGCTCCTCCCTTGGAGCTAACCCCCCCTGTGCACTAACGGGGTGTGGAGATGCCATTTCTGTCAAAGTCCATTCACAACATTTCTCTAAGAAGCTTGGTTTGTCACAAAGCCACCAGGCTGCAAGACGGACCGACTCTAAGAAGCTTCTACCAAATAACTCATTCTATTCTAGTCTTTTGTCGTAGTGAACTCCTGTAGCAAGTATCCACTGAAACTATTGTATCTTCACCTCTCATTGATTTGCAAATTGGTCATAGCTAAAGTAGTTAAAGTTAGTTAAATCACTTTTCACATAAATTGATGCTTTTATTAGCTCGTAACTTAATTCTTGTAAGCAAGCCTCTGTCATTTGAGAGATTATCGTTTGAGCATGATGTTTTTAGTTAGATATGCGTGGTATATTTAAACTGATAATTCAATTAAAATGAATATTTATCTAATGTTGAAATGCTGTTTGTAGTAATAATATGTTCATCAACTACTAACTAGTTTATATAATCATCCTTTTCTGCTCCAGCGGCCCTTCTTTGGGTTTAACGGCTCAACATTTTGATCACCACTGTTCTTGGCTAATGTTTCTATGAAGTGTAGAAGGTGAGGCTGGCTAATGGCTTCTTCTCTCCCTCAGTTGTAATTTTCTTTTATGTAAAAAGAAAACTCTTTAGTTTGTACTCTCTGATGAAATTTAAACTGATTAAACCGTGATATAGAAGTTAGATGGTGCTTTATGTTATGAGCTCAAGGCTTCGCATTTTAGTAGTGGTCTAAAATTCTCAAGGCTTTTTGCTTTTAGCAGTCGTCTAAAGTTCTCTTTTACATATTTTATTTATGGCAAGGAGCCGTATGGTCCTGGATAGTGGAGGCGAACCAATCTGGTTCCTCCTTCATCCAGATCAAACTGTTAGAGATGACAAGGGCGAAACGAGTTAAATTTGTGAGCAGCTGTAGGGACAAAACTAAACAGCCAGATGTAGGAAATAAATTGAAACCGGCACAGAAGAGAATGTATTTCGTCAACAAGCCCACCCAACAGCCAAGCCGTCATCATGTTAGAGAAGCTGCACCACCTCTTGAACACACCTTGAAAGGCCAAGGTCGATATCCCCAACTTCATCGTCAGATAGCCATGGCTAACGATTTTCTTGTCAGAGTTGTCGGAATTGGGCAAATTTAGACATGAAAGTGAGGTTTTAGGATGATAAACGAGGCAAAATAAGTTTTGGGATGTAAAGTGAGACGCATTGTTTGTGGGCATAAGCATAATCAAGTCTATTTACATTATGTAATATGGGTTTTGATATATGAAGAAATGTGTACATATTAATTTTAATCTATTCGTGGTAAAGACTACTTTTTTTGAATTTTTTTATATCAACAAGTGTTGTCTTGAGATTGGAACACGTAACTTTCTTCAATGAAATGTAAACTACTAGACTAAATTATACTCTTCGCACACTTTTTAACAAACTTTTGTTTATGTAATTGGACAACTTGCAATACTTTTAGTAAAGGAAGAACAACAAACTTTTATATATATAAAAGAACTATATAATCCCAACCATATGGAACTACGTCGGTTTGATCCCGTCTAGGGTACGTAGGCAGTCTAGCATCCTAATAGATCCAACCGCAATCAAATTTGAATCCCTAGTTTATCCAAACCAATTTCGCCGAAACTCTTTCCTAAGTGCAAATGTCAATTGTAAAAAATTAGTGAGTTCAACAAAATTGCTCATTATTTTTATTGGACATTGACAATAAGAAAAATAGTACAAAACCATCCAATTAACGACCATAATTAACAAGCGTAAGCTGGCAAAAAAACAAACAAGGGTAAATGATAACAATAACAACGGATAAATCACATAAATAAGCATACACACAAGAAGCATACGACACGAACACAACAAACTTGACCAATTTGCCAGGTCTACATGTAAGGATGGCATAAATTCTCATCAGGTTGGATTCTCGACCTTAATGGAGGGAGATTTTGGAGAAAAATCAGGAGCGGGTACGGGGATCCCCAAGCTACTTCCCAAACACAGCCCGATAAGTAATATATTATTTTTAATTAATGTATAATATAACATAACCATGTATAATTATGATATAATATAATATATATTTAATTTTGTCAAATTTAATTGGGAAGTAGCCCAGGGATGGTAATTCCCCAAAGAAAAATTTAGACTGGATATGGGCGGGGACGGTATTGCCATACCCAACCCTTAACCCGTCATTGCCATTCCTATAAGCCCCGTTTGGTTCATGGAACGAATTTGAGGGGAAATAATTTCTCATGTCATTTCCCAAGGTATGGGAAATGGAAGAATCGTTTCCTATGTTTGGTAATGTTGGGAAAGTAATAAGGAAATATCACTTTATTTCTTTTCCCATGTTTGTTTTGAGTACGAATTTAAAACGAAGTTTGTATAAATTTTCAATTATACCCATATTAAATCAAATAAAAAAAGAATACATTTAATAATATATTGTAATTCTAAATTGTTAATGGGAACAAAATGGTCATAAAAAATATTTATTTAATATTTGCTCATTTTCCTAAACTTTCCCATGATGAGGGAAAACAAAACCCAAGTTGAGAGGATGCCTTCACTTTCCCCCCTATTTTTCTATGGGCCAGACAATGATTTCACATGTCTAAACTTACCAAACATAGAAAAGTAATTGATTTTCCATACCCAAATCTACTTTTCATGAGCCAAACGGGCCTACACACCGACACATACATAGCGGTTCTTTTGTTGTCAACTTGTTATATAAGACCCAAAGTTCAAACTCATAACAGAAGAGTACCAAACAAGCTTCAAAATGAGTGAGGAGGAGACCAAGTTCAGCGTCCTATGCAGCCTCTTCAACTGGATGCAAAGAAGCAAAACCTCAACCCTAAAGCGCTCCAAATTCCGCAAATTTCTCGACACTTTCTGTAAACCTGCTGATTATTTCGATTCGATTCGCCTAATTCTTCCCAGCCTCGACCGCGAGCGCGGCAGCTATGGCCTTAAGGAGTCTGTGCTCGCCACCTGCCTCATTGACGCTCTCGGCATGGCCAGAGACTCCGAGGATGCTCTTCGCCTCATCAATTGGCGCAAAGGCGGCGCCAAGACTGGTGTCAATGCCGGCAACTTCTCGCTCGTGGCCTCCGAGGTACGCTTTTTGGCTTTTGGTTTTTGTTATTTGTTGATTGATTTTTTCTGGGCTTGTTTTGGTTTTGTGGAATTTGGGAGTTTTTGGTATCTGGGTCAGTGAAAGTTTGTATTTTTGTGTCTGGAATTTGGCGGGGTATGCTTTTCTAAGCTTCTGAATTTTGTGTGGTTATAATGGTTTGTTATAAATAAGAGTTCACTTGCATGGATTAGAAGAAATGAAACCAACCAATTTTTTTGGGGATTGATAATCACTTTTCCACTGACTAATAATGAAACATGAGACTGGGCCCTAACAACTCATTTGAAATGAATTACAAAAATGATTTTTGAAACGACTTAGTTGCACTTGCAGTAAATTGTTATCAGTTGATTTTGGACATTAGTGACTCAAAGTCCTCTGGTCTAGTGTGCTTGGACTTTGGTAGATGGTTTTACTGTATGATTCCTTCGGTTTTATATGTTTATGACTGTTTGGCATTTGTTATTTGTGAATCAGGTGCTGCAACGTAGACAAGGAGTGAGTTCAGGTGGATTAACAATCAAGGAGTTAAATGACTTGCTTGATCGTTTAGCTTCAAGTGAAAATAGGTATATTACTATAGTGTTCATTTCCTAATTCCTAACAGGAGCTTGTAAATGCTCAACATCGATTATGAGGCATATTTTAACCAAGCTTGCATTGATATATGCTAAACACAAATCTAGAATTGGCCTTTTCTTCTTCCATCCCTCTCTCTCTCTCTCTCTCTCTCTCTCTCTCACACACACACACACACACACACACACACACATATATATACGTGTGTGTGTACTCTTTGTTTTCAATAATGGTAAAAAATATGCCTATGGTAGTAAGTTAGGTATGGGCAGTGATTAACATCTCTTGACAAACAGAACTTGGTTAACTATGAAATCCTTGTGTATCAAATATTTTTTATGAAAAGTTCTTGTTTGATCTAGATTAGAAATTGGGTTTACTTGTTTGCTGTCATGAGGGTTGGCAAACTCAAGTGCACCATGGGAGCTCTAGCCTAATTATACCAGAAAGTCTCTGCCTTGCTTGTGAACATGATTCTCTATGCTGCCACCTTCTTTCTTTTGTCACCCTCACTTTTCTGTGTAGAAGGTCTCAGCTGGTGATATCGTCTCATGTAACTTGTTATTTTAATTTTACTAGAAAACATTAGTATAATTTATTTAGGTACTTTTTCTGTTGAACTTAAGTTAAATAGCCTACTGGGGCAAATAAGTTAGGCCCTCTAGATTGAACCTAAGTGTAAATGTTTAAGTATATTTCTTCCACACTTATTTAGCTTCTTTTCAGTAATCTTTCTTGAAATTTTGTTTGAAGTGTTAATTTAAATAGCTTATATAATATATCTTCCCTGCGTGCTTTAAGTTTATTGTATGGCTCGCAAGTCTGTTTATAACACCTAAAATGACACAAGGATGTCAACAGGGCAGAGAAGACTTCAGTTCTTTCTACATTGATAAAGAAGACAAATGCACAGGAAATGAAGTGGATTGTCATGATTATTCTTAAAGGTGATGTCTACTAACGTCATGATATGAAATTTTTAATATCCATTCTGTTAAGCTTCAATTTTTCATGTTTTTATATCTCCTGTAGATCTGAAGCTGGGAACTAGTGAAAAGAGCATTTTTCATGAATTTCATCCAGATGCTGAAGACTTGTTTAATGTCACATGTGACTTGAAATTGGTTTGTGAAAAGCTGAGGGATAGAAATCAGCGTCATAAACGCCAGGTCTCTCATTAAGTCTGAAACAATTTTGTACATCTCTTTAATAATTTTATGGTGTAGCAACATTAATATGGTATTTTCCTAAAATTTACTACTCACTAATTGAAGCTACTACGGGGAAGATTATTTTAAGGTATTGTTGCATGCCAAAGATATGAAAACCTTTGGTCATTTTGGTGATTTGTTTGTGAAGAACATATCTTAAGAAGCTCTCATTTGTACAAAGAGCTCTTCTTGAAGTTAATGATCTCAAAATTGCAGTACCTACTAGAGAAGATTTGATATTCTGGTGTATTGTGTGTGTTTTTAATTTTTTTAAATTATAAATTTGCTTATATGTGTGCAAACTACATAGCTTCTGAATTAATGACGCTACTTTGCATCAATTGCAGGACATTGAAGTTGGAAAAGCTGTACGCCCACAACTAGCTATGAGAGTTGGCGATGCAACTATTGCATGGAAAAAGGTTTTATATAGTAGATAGATACACATATATGTTTGGTGATGCTATTTCATATGTCTAACTCCATTAATATCTCTCTTAATTTCTTTCCCCACATTCTCAGCTTCATGGTAAGGAAGTGGTTGTTGAGTGTAAATTTGATGGGGATCGCATCCAAATTCATAAGAACGGAACTGAAATACATTACTTTTCAAGGTAGAGGATTTAATCAGTAATTGCAAACCTTCCTGGCAATTTTATTAATCTTTTCGATCTTTATCTTTTAAGTGTTTCCTTTTATTCTCATGGGCATTATTTAATTTGATTACTAATTTAGGCTCACAATATGGCAGGATTACTCAATAAGAGAATTTGATTTAACCATTGACATTTATTTAAAGCTTGGGTCGTTGTCATATCGGTGGTTCCTTAGGCAAAATATTTTGAAAACTCATAAACTCAAAAAATATTTTGAAAACTCATAAACTCAAAAAATATTATGAAAACTCATAAACTCAAAAAATATTTTGAAAACTCATAAACTCAAAATATTTCTGTCATAAGTTGTTAACCTTGTGCAGGAATTTTCTTGATCACCCTGAATATGGACATGCAATGTCAGACATTGTTATACAAAATGTTCTGGCTGATAGGTAAATTTATCTATATCAAATTGTCATTTCTAGAATTTAGTTATTCTTGGCTTCCTTTATCTTATTTTCTCGTAGCTCTACTATAATCTACACTAGTTATGACATGTCTTGGTTTGTTGGCCTTTTCTGTTCTTTTCTTGCTTGGTTTGTGAATGTGAAGCAGGGGCGGAGGCACAGCAGAACCAGGAGGGGCACGTGCCCCTTATCAACCCCTCCCTTGTTATTTATGATTTTGTTTTCAAAATCATATATATATATTATTGCTTAATGGATATTGATTACAAAATTGCTCCCAAAACTTGAATCTCATTTCCCTCTTTATTTTCTCTCTCTGTCTCTCTGTCTCTCTTACTATCAGCAATAACCCTTTCGACTCTCCCTCCCTTATAACCAGTCTAACACATGTTCTCTTATTTTGCTAGTATGAGTGATTGTTAAATTATTAATTTTACAAGCTACAAAATAGAGAAGATATGCCAAAACTTAGAATTTTGTAACAAGTTAAATTATCACAAAGAAAAAATAGCTTGTATTGTCTAAGGTGCTTCCCGTGTTGTGAAGTATCTTGATAAAGTACTCTGTTATATGGATAATCCTTCTTTTATTAGTTTGCATAGTTTTGGTATAATTGTACAAAAGGATTTAGAGAAAGAGTGAGAAGAAAAGAATCATGGGGAAAATATGCTGGAGGTATTAGCCAAGAGATACCTTTGTTATGCAAAAAACACATACATGCACCCCTGCATGCACACAGATGAGACTAGAAAGATAAACAACTCTTATATCATTCACAACAAACTTGTTTTGCATATAGGTTGTACTAATTTTTGTTATTTTGGTCAGGCATAGGTCACCAACTTTTGTCCTGCAATTGCAACCTTTTTATGTGTCTTTGTATATTTCTGGGGGAAAAGTACAATGACCATATTAAAATGAGTTAAATGGACATGCTGTCCTTTACATCCATTTGAGCAACCATCACATCTCAATTTTAGAAAGCTTCATTCTCTCAAAGGCTTTACAGTTCGTTTTGGTGAACACCATGAGATGCATTAGGGGCAACTTTAACAGTGCCCTTATTTGTTAACGGATAAATGTCTGAATACTATGTTTTAAAATTCTTATATGCCTGCAACCTGTGTAGTTTGCGAAGGCCTTTTGTTTAACAAGCTGTGTATCATTTACAGTCAAACACCCCCATACATGTTGGTGTGCGAAAATGCACAGAGTTGCTTTTTCACCTAATATTTTCAATCAACTTAATCCATATTAATTCTTCCCCTGGCAATGTTGGTAGGTGTATTCTTGATGGTGAAATGTTGGTCTGGGACACATCTTCCAATCGTTTTGCTGAGTTTGGTTCAAATCAAGAAATAGGTTTTCTTTTCTAATTAATTATTTTTTTCTTGATATGATCTGTTGACTGTTTGCATTTTTTGATTGTCGCTTATAAATTTGCTTTCCTTGTTTTATTTTACAGCCAAGGCAGCAAGGGATGGACTTGACAGTGATAGACAGGTTTTCTTTTCATGATATTCTTTTTCTATTTTTAGAAACTACCAAGTTAGAGTCCAGCTTACACTTTATGCCCCCCCTCCTCATGCAGTTGTGCTGTATCCTTTTTGTGTGTGACCTTGCTCAAAGCTGAGGTTGATGTCCGGCTTTGCAAGCACTTCAATGTTATTGGTGGTGATGATAAATCATAGAAACTGAAATTAAAAATGTGAAGGACAGTTGAAAAATGTTGATTTTGTGTACCTTGACATGAGATTGACTAGATGTTGCATTCGATATCCTCTATGTTGGAGATACTAGTGTAATTCACCAGAGCTTGAAGGAACGGCATGAACTTCTCCAGAAAGTTGTGAAACCTTTGAAGGGTCGTTTAGAAATTTTAGTACCTAATGGTGGTCTTAACACTCACCGTTCTGAAGGTAAAAATATTTTTACAGATTTCAGAATTTGTTCCTACGTTTTTTTTTCCAACGTGGTAAGAGAATATCTCCTATGCATTGTGTTAGATTTAGTGGATTTTGTTGGTTTAGTTGGCATTTTTAATATTTTCATTTGCTTACTAGTGGATTGATTTAGTGTAGACTCTACAAGTGATGTGTGCAACCTATGCTCTAGATTGCGTTCTAGGAGAAGCAAAGCTTTAGTCTAAGATATGCAGTTTTAAGGAACCAACCTAAACTAATCCAAATTCTGTTCATCATGACAGATGAGGATTGACTCAACTCTGTTTAAGATATATTGGACATTCAATGTTTTTCGGTTGTCATACTGAAGTCATGAAGTCCTGAGTCCTGACTAAATTTTGAGTTCTATGAAATCCAAATTGACACATATGATCATTAGGAGGGTGGAGGTTTGGGGTGATGTGCTGGTCAAACTTCTCTTGTGCTAGATTACTCTCATGTCACTGAAGCACAAACAAATATAACCTTAATTATTTGTTGTGACTTCTTATTCCAACTTATTTGATGGAATGCCAGTTTTAATTTTAATACACCATCATCAATTGTCACAACTCACCGCACTTTAACTGATTTGTTGCCTCTATCACTTAATTCACAAAGTAAGCACCCACATCTATTGATAGACTTAATCCTCTATGAAGTCTAGAATGCGGTGATTGGACTGCCCCCTGCTCTTGCCAGTGAAATCCATCTAAATATCTATTGAATCCTATGGAGGTATAAAACCTCCGAACTATTATGTATCCAGCATTGAGAGCAGCTTGTGAGAATAATCTTTGTTGAGAATATCTCTAACCTGTAGAAGTTATGTATGTAAACTTGCCATGTGATTCATCTGGGTTTTTTGGAAATTTTTCATCCAAGTAAAAGATATTTTCTATACGAGATAAAACATTTCACTAAAGAAGAAAGATGAAATACAGAATGAATGACAAGATGCCCATCATTAGTGTCTGGTGTTAGTACAGTGATGGGTTATTATGTTCACCTCTCCACCATTGGTAATTCCAGGCATATGAATATAGTGCTAATTATTTTTCTCAAAAGTCACATAGTTTAACATTTACCAGTAGATCAGTGTCTTACCTGTGTTGGTCATGCAGGGGATCCTTGTTGGTCGCTTATTGCTCGTAGTGTGGATGATGTCGAGAGGTTTTTCAAAGAAACCATCGAAAATAGGTTAGCATAGCTTCAGCATTCGTGTTAGTTCGAGTGGACTATGATTGTTGTTTATCACGTACATTCTTTGGGCATAATCTGTCTACTAAGATTGATGCTATTTTCCTTTACTCTCTCTCTCTCTCTTTCCAATTTCCAATTTCAATAATTTTTTAGTCTTTCCCCATCAAATAGATGAAAATTTTAGCACTAACGCCAGGGTTTTAGATTTGTAAAACTGAAATTAGACTAATTTGTTGATCACGAAAATTAATCAAAAAATTTAAAATCACGTGTACCATTTTTGTCCGAATTCCACTTTTTACCCTGCACAAACACCTAGAACTTTAAATTATCAGCTGAGATTCATGGTGATTTAATCCCACACTACTTGCAAATTACCTTCAAAATTATACAAGGATCATACCGATTGATGTCACTCAGGAGTAAAATCCGATACTATAACCTCTTTCCCATATTGTAATAGCGTCTTAAAAGGATCATATCATTGATGTACAGAATCATTGTTCTCTCCTTTCTATGTGTTGAATATACAGTTCTTTGACCTAAATGTCTTATTTGTATTTTATCAAATTGAGTTGTTCATGCATCATTTGGTCAGTTGTTTCCTTAAGCTTATATATCATTTTTATCCTGTTAGAGATGAGGGGATTGTTTTGAAGGACCTTGGTTCTAAATGGGAACCTAGTGATCGGAATGGAAAGTGGTTAAAATTAAAGCCAGATTACATTCGTGCAGGCTCTGATTTGGATGTTCTTATCATAGGTTTGTAATTTCTTTTTCTTAAACTCTCTTATCTACCTTGAACCAACATATTTGTTGTATCTGCTATAGTTTTTAATTAAATGTCTGCACACCTATATTTAGGTGGATACTACGGTTCTGGACGTCGTGGAGGGGAGGTCAGTTTGCAATGCTTGCTCATATACTAATTTATTTCCATTCCGACCCAAACATAGATGTGTGTGCATGCGTGTACCAATAACTCTCTTGGGGTCCTCAAATAAGATCCTTAAATAAGGTTATGTTTCTCGACCTTTTAGATCATGTGTAGACTGATATGCATGCACAAGGGTCGAGAAACACAACTCTATTTAAGGACCTTAGGAGAGAAGAATTGTGTGTCTATATATATTTTTATAGACATTGTGTTCATTGATTTTGTAAGACAATTAGATGTCGAAACGGTTTCCGATTTGTCTAATTTTTTGCAAGGATGATCTATGAATGTAGACTTAAGAAATAGATGGTTTGGATCGTTAAAAAAAAATTCGTAGGGGGATCCTATATTATATGTAGTTACATGATGGACTTTTAGTTCTAGTGATAAATTTATTATTGCAGGTAGCTCAATTCTTGGTGGGTCTTGCTGAACGTCCAGTACCAAATACATATCCTAGAAGGTGAGAATTTTTCAATGGTTGATCTATACAGATTGGTTGGCTTCAATGAATGAAAATATTGGAGTAGTAACTTGGATTCTGTATTGTCTTATTTAAATAAGGTTAGTCATATTTGTGAGTAAATCAATTATTTGGTAAAAAAAAAAAAAAAAAAAAACAAACAACGAGTCTAATTAAATGCATTTTGTTGAAACTGATTGCCCAAACCATATCTTATGTGAAATGATGGCGCAAAATGACTTGTGGGCAGACGAGCAAAGAGTTAGTTGAATACTTTACACAGAGAGAGAGAGAACAGTTAATTTTCTCATTATCTCTTTGAATTTGTTTAAACCCTGATCAAATTAAACAAAATAATACTCATAATATAAAATATAAAAAATTTGATGTTGCCAACAGTGTAACCATACTGTTTTCTTATGTTTCTCTTGACGGTAAACTTATTAAAGTCATGTTCTGGCTTAATGTGGAAGTTGTGACCTTGAGTTAACAAAATATAAGCAAGCACCAATAGATTACTTGAACCATCGTGAATAGATGATTTCAGGGGTGTATTTAACTATCGGAGTTGCCATGATTGATGCATATACTATTTGTTAGGGTGATGGATTCAGATTGATATACATTTTTGGGTCTGTTAACAGATTTGGCTTTTGCGATAGATAATAACTTACAAGCTATGAACTAATATGGTTCTTGGACATGTTCATCCACCATTTTAAAGCCAACCTGATATGACTCTGAATTACTCAACTCTATTACTCAACTCAATTCTGTACGCTTGCTTGGTCTACTTTGTTCTGATATCATTGTATTCCTCCGTATTCAGCACGGAATCTATCCAAGCCGGATAAGGTTTGGTGATCATGTGGTTATCCTCCTCCTCTTCCTTGGCCTCTTTTACTCTTTTCTTGACCAACTGATTCTGCTTTCTATATGAACATTCAAACAAAAAGAAAAGGGTCAAACCATATCTTACTGAATAATCAGACTGACTGAGGAAGAGCTCTTTATGTGGTCTCACTTTACCACCATCTGAAATGTGCGAAACTTTGATTGGTGGAAGCCCGTCTTTGAAGATTCAAAAGAGCTACTTCAGCGGATTCTCCGATAAATGTTTATCTTAGATTCGCTACCTTTTGTCTCTTTTTGTTGATCAGCGTAAAGTAAAATCTTTCTAGTTTTAATCCAATTTGTTTGTTCTAATCCATTCGATTGATCGCTTCCATTCAGAATAGATTAGTTGGGAATTGGATGCTCTGCAGTGAAGGGCCTAGCTGGTAAAGCAGTTGATCCACTCGATAGGGGGGGGAAAACCAATGAGTACAACTTTTTAAACGGAAACTACAAACAAGATCTTAGAGCTTTCTCAATCATCCACAGCTCCGGAATTAATGTGCTGTTTTTTATGCTGGAGTCATGAATCGCCTCATGGCCAATTGCATCCCAACGACTTTCTTGATTGGCTAAGTAGCGTGGAGAAGTTATCCAAGGTGTGCGAAGGTTAAATTCCTGAGTATGGGTCATGTGTCAATTTGGTGGGATCAAGTCCAAGCAAGGCGGCTCCTCTTATTCTCAGCACATAGGGGGATTTCCCATCCATTTATCTTTCCATTCCTTCCCCTCATTCCAATCTTGAGGCGTACTACCATGATTCCAGGGGCCTCTACCTCTCATAATTCCAATTCTCCTCCAGGGTCAATTGTTTGTCTTCTTTCCTAGGATCCCATATCTGATTCACATCGAAAAGAAGCCCTTTCTAGGCCCTTCGGATTCACTTTCTAAGAGGTCATTCTTTGTCCCTCTCTTGGATTAACTGGGATGAGATCAGCATGTGTTATTCTAGCCTTGATTGCTTTTTTTAAAAAAAATTATGTAATTTTGGTTGGTCTTATCTATTGGGTTGGATCAATGCCTGGGTCCTTTTATACTAGAGTGTGATATGAATTAAGCTGACTCTTACGTAGCTTACTGCTACTATGTCTTTAAAAATAAAAAAGTTGATTGCTTTCTCTTGTCAACGTTTATCTCTTAGGTTGGATTCTTGCCTGGCCATTTTATAGTAGATTTTGAATATGACTTTGGCTGAATCAGAGTTAGGTTGCTGCTAATATATTGATACTTAAACAATTAACCAGCCATTGGTTCCATGTGTGTGCCATATTGTTTGTTGGTGCTAATTTTTTGATGCACCAGAGAGCCTAAATCCTCATTGGTGCTTATAATCCTTATATCCACAACGGGTAAGTGAATGTTTCTGACTAGGTTTTCATATTGCAGATTTGTATCCTTTTGCAGAGTGGGCACTGGACTTTCTGATGAGGATCTAGAAGCTGTTGCAACCAAATTAAAGCCTTATTTGAGGTATTTTGTTTTATAACTTAACAACACTGTGGTAGCTCCTCAGGGGGATTTATCAAGAAAATATCCAATGAGCAACATGAAATAGCCTTTAGGGCAATCAGAACAGTTTGTGCTATGACCATTGCATTGATGGCCATGCAGCTTATGGTTTTAGACAAAAAATTGTTAGCATTGGTGATTGTTCAGTGTAGTTTTGTAATTCTAGGACGCATCAGTTTGATTTATTTTATCATGATTGAGAAATTCTGTTGAAAACTTGAGATAATGCTTGGAGCCAACACCCACATGGGACATTTTTTTACTGATTACTAATTTACTGGGTACTGTGAAAATAAGTCTGTTTATATGGTCAAATACAATACCTTATTAAGCCCTTGGGTTTACCTTATTAGGTGCTATTCTTTCCTTATCTCTGCAAATATATGTTTGATTTTCTCTCTGTTCTGTCAGGAAATATGAGTACCCAAAAAAGGCTCCACCAAGTTTTTATCAAGTAACAAACAATTCAAAAGAGAGACCAGATGTTTGGGTTGAAAGCCCCGAGAAGTTAGTATGATTTCCTGGATAGGTCTGTGATATATTAATTTTCAGCATATATATCAATTATCTTCTTTCTTTCTTTTTTTCCCTTTTGCCCCTTGTATTTTGCAGATCAATAATACTTTCTATAACGAGTGACATCAGAACTATAAGGTCTGAGGTGTGTCCTAACAGCTATAGTATCATTTGTGATTCATTTATTAATCAGATATTTACATGTAGATCTACTAGGGTGTCACAGTATAAGTTGTATTAGTTTGACTTGATGACTTTATTGATTCGTTGGCTGTCGTGTCCTTGCAGGTTTTTTCTGCACCATACAGCCTGAGATTTCCACGTATTGATCGAGTTAGATATGATAAACCTTGGCATGAATGTCTTGATGTGGAATGTAAGAGGATCAAATTTATTCCAAACACATCCTAGGATTCTAGCTCTACTTATAGTGACCAGCATATTTCTAATTTTATAAAGTAGGATTCCTCTCTATTTCCTTAGTTTCAGCATTCAAAGATGGGGTAAGCTCTTAACTCTCACGTGCTTTAAATTTTGGTTATTTGATTTTCTTCTTTTGCAGCATTTATAGAGCTTGTACATTCAAGCAATGGGACCACACAAAGGGGAACGGATTACGGTGCTCTGCAGGATACTAAAACAAAACACAAGAAATCCTCTAGAAAGGAAGAAAAAAGAAATCTTTCTGTTGTTCCCTCTCATTTAGTTCAGACTGATGTTTCCAGCGTCAAGGAGGACACATTACTATTTTCAAATATGATGTTTTGTATCCTGTGAGGTTTTCTCGGAGTTGCTTAATATCTGAGTCAATTCATTAACAAAATTGCTTGATCTTTCAATCTGCATTTTGCGTCGGATAATAATACTAATAATGACTTTTTTCTTCTTCTGGTGTATGTATTATTTCCAACAGTCATACTTTCTGCATTTTGTACTTGTCTCCTTTTTCCATAAGGGGTTTGGGGTCGTGTATTAGCTGGATGAGAGATGACGTGCATGTGTTTAATAACCTGAAGAAATTATTGTTTAACATCCTTCCTCAAGGTGTTCACTGTAGATAATCCCCGCAAATACAAACTGAATACAAGAAAAAGGCAATACTATAAGGATGCATTTGGAACCAACAAAATTGGATATTTTGAGCATACTAGTGACCATATAATTGCATCTATTTATTCTGCTTTACCATGTTGTCCTTGACACGTCCAGACTTTGTTAATGTGCCTCCCACTAATTCTCTTGATTTCTTGCACAAACTTGTTGTTGAGAATGGGGGTACTTTCTCTATGAACTTGAATAACGCAGTTACACACTGTGTTGCAGCTGATAGCAAGGGTATCTCTCTCTCTCTCTCTCTCTCTCTCTCTCTCTCTCTCTCTCTCTCTCTCTCTATTTTTATATAACTCAGTTACACACACACACACAATTTCGATTGGCTGTAATAATAATGTTATTTGACAGGGATTAAATATCAGGCAGCAAAGCGTCATGGAGATATAATTCATTTCTCTTGGGTATTGGATTGTTGTTCTCAAAAGAGACTTCTTGCTTTACAGCCAAAGTTAGTGACACTATCTAATCTGTTTGTATTGAAAAGACATTGTAAAATGTGACTCCTTTTTTAATTCTACAATGCTTCAAATATTTTTCTCGTGAAGGTACTATCTCTTCATATCTGAATCTTCAAAAAATAAGTTACAAGAAGAAATTGATGAATTTTCTGACTCGTACTACTGGGATCTTGACCTTGCAGACATTAAGCAGGTAAATGTACATAGTATTCTTAGTTGCTCTCCAAACAGTGAATTTGCTTTATTATATATTGAAGCATATAAGAACGGAAAAGAAGCAAGTTTTAAGTACTACGTTTACCAGTGAACTATTTAATACTGGTTCTATTGGAGGTAACACAGAGAACTTTTGATAGGCAATGAGGTAATTTGTTTATTTCATTCTTTTCAGCTTTTAAGCAACATGTATAGATCCAAGGATTCCAAAACTATCAACCACTACAAGAAAAAATACTGTCCAATGGAGAAATGGTCTCGCTTTCACGGCTGCTGCATTTACTTTAACCCATCAACTCATTCCTTGTAAGATTTGTTGGCTATATTAGGCTTTCTCAGGGCGCGGATTATATTAGGCTTTCTTTGTTTTTCACATTCTAAATTTATTATTTATGGATTTCTGATTAACCTTTGCTTAAAGGAAACCGGATTGGGAAGTCCTTTTACAATTCACACTCAGAAGGTTGAAGATTCAAGTTCTCATAAGTGGTGGCAGAGTCACTGACAGTATTGCTCATGCGACTCATTTGGTAGTCTTGTCAGTGCAGGGTCTTGATGTCGATTTTGAAACTTTATTGCAAAGGTAACCTATAGTTCATAATGTTGCGAGTTACATGAATAATTATTCCCAGTCTCTAATGGAGGATAAGTGCATGCATCTCCTGATCAATAAGATATGTGGAATCATTATTGAGGATTAAATCATCACATGATTGTTTTGATTTTTTGTCAAATATCTGACCATACGTTCATTGATATGCTTTCCATTGAAGTTGGCAGAGGTGCATTTTCTGGCATGAATTGATTGACAAGATGTTGGTGAGATAGTTGATTATTCAGGATAATTTAAGTACGTTTGTGTAGTACGATTTGTCTACAACAAATTAAGGGTGCCATTTTTTTCTCAACACAGCCATATGCATGGTTTTTATAATAGCCAATGTAACAGTTCAATTATAATTATCAAGTATCATGTTTTGTTTCAAATATGATGCTTAATGGCGCGTGCATTCAATTATCAAGTATCATGTGTTTTTTTTTGGTCGATCAAGTATCATGTTGAGAAACAGAAAAGAGGACAATTTTAATTTCTTCTTTCAATCTATGGATGAATTACTGCATTTAAAAAAAAAAAGCTACAATAAGGCTTTATTCACCTGATTTAGATATGACCATTATAGGAGCTTGATTTGTTTGCTCTGTTCTATCCCCCAGTTCTTGGATATTTCTTACACTACAACAGAAATAGCTTTGCCCACTGTCTGACCCCTTTCCTCATTACAGCTGTTATCAACATCAATACAGTCCATGACCTTTTCTCACTGCTCTCTCTGTTACAGTTTCACTGAATCAGAGAAACGATTTCTGCATAACAAAAAGTTGCATATCGTTGGATCTCAATGGTTGGAAGACTGCTTGGAAAGGGACCAGAGACTGCAAGAAGAAACATATAGCTTAAAACCGAATGGGTTGGAAGAATTCAGCATGGAAGAGTGGTGAGTTCAATTATTATAATATTGCACTTGGATGTGGTATTCCGCTGAGTTATAATACGCATATAAAATCAAATCAGTTGATTTGGGTTATGATACAAAGTTAGGTGTAATGGTAACAAGAAGTTTCACTCATAATTCAATTTCAGATTTACGACATGGAAGCCAACGGTCCCTGATGGGATCACCTGTCACTTAAAACCTGTTTTTTAGCAAAAATAAATGGTTAAAATCCAGTTTCTGAAACCCCCATCTTATTCTTTGTCAAGACCATCAAAATTCTTTCTTAAGTCCTTGAACACAGGTGACTGATATTGGACTATTATCTTGAGGTATTTATGAGATTTACCTTTGCTCATTAGTGGACGTTGCCAAGGGCAGAACCGTAAATTTTTACAGGGGTGGTTTAGTATTTTCAGTTGGTGATTTCTATCTTGAGAACTTGAGTAGGAGAATTCAGGCTTTAGATATGGGATGGCTTAATTTCTTCTTTGAGGGGTGGGTTAATTTCTTCTGGGTTGGAGTGGACGTGCTATATATTCATTTTCATTTTTACACTGGGCTAGCCCACCCAAGTCAATGCTTGCTTCTGCCCCCGGCGTATCGTCCTTTTGCTGGATGTTACCTGTTCATTATGTAGTGTCTCCATCATAATCCTTAGAAAATAAAATAGAAAGAATGATTGCTAAAAGCTAGCTGTTTCATCTTTTATTCTTTTCTTAATTTTGTTTTTCCACTGAATGATGGAGACGCTATACTGGGCTAGATAGTCATTCTTAGAAATAAACTACTAAGAGAAAGTAAACTAATACAGGAATGGATTCACGGCACAAAGAAATGGAATTGTCTAACGTGTGTAGAAAAATTCCTCATACGAAGGGGCGTTGTGTTTTATTGTTTGTTCGGTTCATATCATAAACATAGCAAGAGGAAGAAGTTCTACGGGGAAGGTATTGTACATCTTTGATGGGTGAAGTGCAGACTTGCTAGGGGTGTGCGTGTGTGGGGTTCCCTTTAATATCAATTATGATAACAGAGTACATAGGGGGGATTTCAGGGTGGTTAACATTTTTGTTCTGCTCCTGTTATTTCTAGGAAACATGACATGGATCTAGAAGAAGCACCCTCTGATGTGGACACTCTGCAAATCAACAATTCTTCTTCTTCTCCTAACCAAGAAGGAAAAGAGATAGGAGGCAAAGAAGCTCCAGAAAACTATAGGATCTTAGCCTCACCTGAGAGGGAAAGCAAAAGGAAAAGAGGAAGACCTGCTCTCACAAGCATGAACAAAGGAAAACCTGGTGTCAACCAAGCTCGGAGAACACGGGTGCGCATTGGAAGGAAGCCTGCTAAAATATCAGGAAATGAGTCAGATGGTGGCTCTCATGATAACACATTACTTGCGGAAGAGGTTGATAAGGAAGAAAGGAAACATGGAATGATGAGTGACGCAAGTTTAGACATCCAAGAAAATGAAGCAATTAAAGATTCTGAATCATTACAAAGAGACAATGCAGCTGTGCAAGAGGTTGCTGAAGACATTAGCTTTGAGGACCATTCTTATCGAATTCCTGATGTCGAAATGATTGAGAAGTGTAATATCGAAAGCAGTGGAACGCCGGAGAAACTTGAAGTTATGGCTGATCCTGTTCAAGCCATGTTGTTTGACATGATTCCAAGTCTTGCTATGAAGAAAGTTGAAACTACAAACACGAGTATTGAAAAGGAAAAATCAGCAGTAGATCTGAATGCAGGACCTTCAAAGAAAAAGAAAGTTAGCTACAAGGATGTTGCTGGTGAGCTGCTCAAGGATTGGTAAATTGTTTTCTGCATCGGTTTACTGTCTGTTCTGTATATATGTTACAGTCAAGGATTGTGGATTAGTTGGGCTTTTGAATGTCTTGTACCTAAATTATATGTCCATACAAACTGAGACACTTGCCTTTTTCTAGATTCATTTCTCATCTGTTGTGGGCGTTATCGCTTTGTGGGTCAAAAAAGGCAGGGATGATGGATGCGTGTCATCTAATTATGCCGTTTGACTTGAATTTCCATTATGATTTACTGTCTCCTTGGCTTTGGTTTCCTCTCTGTCCTCCCCCGACCCCCCACAAGGATGAAAATTCACATAATCTTTCATTTATAACGTTTACACATTATGACAGCATAGAATGTAGCTCCAGGAAACTGGTCTTCCCATTATTGAAGAAATAGGATTAGCTAACAGAAGCCTAAAATTCAATAGCTTCCCACGAAACAAATCCAAATATCAAAGTTTTACAAAATTTGAGTGGAAAACATGATTATACTCTGATGATGGATACAAATCTTTAGAAAGAACCGAACTTTGGGCCAGCGCTACAAAGAGAAATTTTCCCCTTTTTGATGTCACTATTTTGAAATACAGTTTCAGTGTACAACATATAAAGAATTATCCCAGGATCACCATCCATACTTGGCTTGTGTTTCAGCTTTTGTGAGGAAGCCTTTTGAACGTCGTTCTGCAAGTTCCATCTCCTTCTGCCTCATATCAAAGTATAGAGAACCAATCTGATGCTTCCTCTTATGCAGCTTTGTAGGCTTCCCTTTAGTTGAAACAGGCTGAATGGAACAAACACAAATAAATAAGTCAATGCATAAACTAAAACAAATTAGTATATACATATACATAAATACATAATCCACAAAAATAGTAAAGCAGACCAGTCATTGCCGATGATGAACAAAACGAATAGTGATTCAGACTTCTTTTCTTTCGAAATGGAACTTGCAATAATGTCTGATTGAAAAGTAGACTGAAGCACTTTCTAAGTTTCAAACAATATCAAGTACCATGTAACATGCACAAGATGTACTAGGTGCTCAATCAGGCAGGCAGAACTAAACAACAAATAAGCAAAAAAGAAAAAAGGGAAAAAAAACATTGAGCCAAGGAAAATGACAGAACACCCAAAAAGCTAGTAACATATATGATTATATCTTTATTTTTTGAAAAATAGATATATAAAATTCTCTATGCAAACAGCCTCGACAATATTTTCATCTCAACATGATCCCATCTTCTGACACCATAATCTCATTGCTTCCAATCTCGGGGAATCATGAGATACATAGAACTTCATTAAAATGATATATCAACTCCTCATGATGTTTGCAAGCACATTCATTAGGGCGGAGGTTAAGCATTGTTAAGATCTTAGCAAATAGTATGACCAAAAAATTTCTCTACGGTGGATTTTGATAATTCAAAGTCAAGTTAGGAAAGGGTCCTCCTCAGTGCTTGTCAAGTTCCAATGCAGTTATAGAAAAACCCCACTCCACCTATGGACCCAAGTTCTGCAATGCACTACTTTAGACCCCAAACATGCTCTATCAGTTTGTTAGCAGATATCAAAACAATACAGCTCTAAGCCAGAATAATTCAACAAAGCAAGTTCCACAGTCCGCAAAGTTCTTCATTCTAAGGAAAACACTCTAGCATTGTTACCAGAGGCACCTTTTTCTTGTCCGATTCATGAGAAGCATCATCTTCTGAGATTTCCCACGTTTAAAGCTTCTAAATATTAATTTAAGCCATGCTTTGGAAGGCTGCCTCGGTCTTTTTCCTTTCTGAATAATTTACACATTTTGAGCTAACATCAGTCTTGTATTTGACCATTATCCTGTATGATTCTTGAGTGACATGTTTTCCTCTCTTAGTTTTTCCTTTCAATTGATAAAAATCCTTCCCACTTGGGAGTGAGAAGATGGAGAGAAAAAACAAGATTTTTTCTCCATTCAATACCAGTTAAAACACGTCTTGCCAAAATCAAGTTGACAGTAACATGACCTGTTTATTACATGTGTTATAAGGTCATGTCAATTTGGCTACGTGTTGTAATTATCAATTCTAACCTGCTAATTTTCTACTGCATTCATGTCATGTTACCTCGTATTCAAAATTATCACCCCATTCCAAACACCTCCATTATGAAAATGGATTAGATTACATAAACCCAAGGTAGCAAGCTAATCCTATGATAGTAATATATCTCAATGGAAATTGACAGTTCACAGTTCCCACATCCCATTTCATAGACTTTGTTCCACTGATATGACTTAGTGATCGTATTGCTTTTGCTAAAGTAAATGCAAAGGTCATTAAACTACCAGGTTATGTTGTCCAAGAGTAATGCACGAAAAGTTTGATATACACAAAAGATAACTTATATATGAAGTGGAACTTTAGTCTTTTTCATCAAGAATGGTTCTCATAAGAAAAAAGACAGTTTCTTATGACTCTTATCATATTATTTAATGGAAAGAATTTAATGAACCGTTTCACAGATATCAAATTCTTCCTAGAAAACTGTCAATAACATAAAGCTAAAGTAGAAGATATATCTCACTCAGGTTCATGACACTGGACTAACTGCTAATAATTTCAGTATGCATTAAAATGTAGCAAAACAATGTCTTGAGTTCTCAACGTTATAAATGAATAAAAGGATGCAGACCAGTTAATGAAAAAAATCAAAATTCATAATCACTATAAAACCAAATGATCAAAAACAGCAAGAACCTATAAGTGGTGATACCTGATAAGAAGGCCCAAAAGCTATTCCGGTTGACTTGGCCTGGTCTTCCCTTGGCCGATTCTTCATCAACTCGTCCTGCTTAACCTCAACTATTTCAGTTGGCACCTCATTCCTCCCTCTCCTTTTACTCACTTTAATCCCACTTACATCTGTCCCTGGAATCGCCAGCGCTGCAGTTTCAGACCCATCAACCCAATCATTCCCATACCGCCCATAACCACTATAAGCAGCATTACTCCCATAAACATCATAACTACCATTATTTGAAGCATCACTACCGCTAATTCCTGCCTGTAATTGAACCCCAACATCCACATTTTGATCAATGCCAGACTGGTAACTCTCATAACCACCATAGCTTTCATAGTTAACTGCATTTTGATCAATACCAGATTGGTAAGTCTCATAACCTCCATAGCTTTCATAGTTAACTGCATTCTGATCAATACTTGATTGGTGATTCTCGTGACTAGCAACATTTTGATCCACCCCTGCATCGCTCTTCACTTTAGAACCAACTGATTCCGTTTCAAGAATGGCTCTTCGGCCCGAACCCAAACCCGAACTCGCACCCAATGTGGCGGAGTACCTAGGCGCTGGAAGAGAAAATATGAACTTCCCGGACGATGTTTGAGAGGAGGATTCAGACGCTTTTCGCCTTCGCCTTTCTTCTTCTTCATCATCATCGTCATCTTCGTCGTCCAATTGGGACGACTTCATCGAATAAGAGCTAATGGGAGGCTTGAATTGGACGACCCTTTTAGGGTTTCGGTCTGAGGATGAGATATTGGTAATGGGTTGATTTGGGATTTGGGATTTGGGCGGAGGAAGCGTAGAGAACAAGGGTTTGGAGGTGGGTTTTGAATCTTGGTCTTCATCATCGTCGTCGTCATCATGACGAAGATTTGATGGTTTAGTTCGGGTTTGTTTCGGTTGGGGAAGGGACTGGAAGAGAGAGGAAGTTTGGGGTTTGGGTTTGGGTAGAGAAGAAAAGAGAGAGGAAATTTGGGGTTTGGGTTTGGGTAGAGAAGAAAAGAGAGAGGAAGAGGAAGAAGGTTCAGAGCTGGGTTTTGAGGGCAAAGCTGCGGATTTGGGAGGCTGTTGTTGATCTTCTTCTTCGTCAGAAGAGGCGTAGTTAGCGAGCAGAGAGTCCATGAGAGAGCGAGAAGAGAGAAGATGAAAAGAGAAAAGCTCTGAAATTTTTGGAGTTGTGCTCTGAAATTTGTATTCATACCCTGGATAATGATCCTCAATTTTCCTTTATTACATCAACGGGTTAGCTGAACTGATTGTGCGGGGCTTGCTTTGTGGGTTCAACCCAAGACTTTTGAGTGTTGCAGGTTGTGGGCTTGTATTTGTGCTTTTTTTTTGCTTTTTTTTCCATTTGATGTTTTTGGGCCTCCACTCCCATTTATGATTGGTTAAATAGTCTTACAAAAGGGGTTTTCTTTGAGCATTTTAGACAACCAATTATTCAATTCAAAGACATGTTTGTTACAGCATGATCATGCAATTATTTAACACTGGCTTTGAACCCAAAAAAAAAACTATGTTCATTTTCTCAGAAGCTAAACCAAGACCAAAGGCCGGCCTTCCATCAAGGAAAAAACAAAACCCAATAAAGAGAGAAGACATTTGTGTAAGAAGAAGAAGATGGAGATGGTGACAAGCAACAACAACACTAACAGCAGTGATGTGAAAAATGTAACTTCATTCATGGATCAGTTTGTTGTCATAATTATATGCTCATGGGGCTTTGTGGATCATTCAAAGCTGCAATGGCTGTTTCAATTTTAATCTTCAAATGATCTTTTTCTTCTTCATCTGCCTGCAAAAAAACACACCAAATTAACAAGTTAATTAAAATCGATTAAAGCTCTATGAAGACAAAATTAATGACATGTAACGCACCTTAGGTGCCCCGGCCTCATATCACACGATGATTTTTTTTTATAAAAAGGCGATAGAATTTTATTATATGATGACAATGTAGGTGATGAAAGAATAATTTCATGTGTGGACAAAACTTGACATCTTTAAAACACGACTCATTGAAAGAATGATCGTGATGGCGTCATCACAAACATAAAGTATTTAAAGCGTGGCTTGATTATTTTCGTCATTTGCAACTTCCACAAGTTGAATATATATATATATATATATATATATATATATATATATATGAACAAAGACAAGGGGAAAAAGACATAATATTCAAACAAAATTGAGAGAAAATATATATAATAATAAATAAATAAATAAAAAGTAAGAGGGGAGATGGTGTGGACACAGCATCATAGTTTTTGTTGTACCAAAATCCATTTAAAAACTTTACATAAAAAAATGTAAAAGGAACATTAGGAGCATAAATGTGCGGTGCAGATGTAACCATCATACTTTTAAAGGTGTGTCTTGCTTTTGCCCTCGAGAAAATAACAAAAACAAGGCAAGAAAAATAAACTGCAACAATAATTCATATCGCACAAGGTACTTGGGACCATTAGTAATGCGTTGGCTGAATATTCAAGGATTGGGAAACCTTATCCACCCATCACATAACCAGAGGGAAAGCTTTCAACACAAAGTGTACTTATCAGATTTCAATCAACATATGATTTTGACACTATCTATCCCTTTTCCTCTTTCCTACTTTGGGGGCTAACCTACTAAGTTGGACATTCAATATTTTCGGAAACGAGACTTGTATACATGACGTTGATATGACCGCACCTTAAATTTTTTATACTTACTCTCATATGTTTCGTATGAACGATTTTCGATCCATGATTAAAATCAACTCCTCGTGAATTAACGATTGAAAATCAACTGTATGTTCCAACACGTGTGTTATACTTAAAAGTCTTTTGTGCCTAATATCATGTCACAAATGTAAACCAAGAGGAACTTAACAAGTAACCCATCTAAAGAAGCAAAATTGGTAGTTGTAATGAAAGCCAAAAATAAAAACCAGTACCAAAAATTCATAGTGGAGCATCATTATTATATGTTAAAATAAATTCCCCACGAGGTCTCCAAATTTGTCCAACCATCCAATTTTTGTTTGGTTTCTGGTATCTTCTACGAAACCGTACCCACATGGGAAACATGTTTCTTTGTAACCATTGACCAGAGCTTATCCACTGACCATTGACCATTGACATCACATTTCCACAACAATTTCAAGTACGAGATTTCCGAATTTGTTGGCTTTGGGAATAATTGATGTATTCAACTTCCATTATCAAACATAAAAGTTTTAAAAAAATCTTATTGAAAAAAACAAAAATTATTTCACAGACCTTCATCTCACAAAATTATTCCTTTGCACCCTTATAGATTTTGCTAGGAACAATCGTCCAAACAATATGCTCATTTTCTTAATTACCAAAATAAAAGGCGATCGACGAGGAGGAGATGAGAGCAAGAGAGGTGATGAAAATGAAATTGGAGCAAAAAAGGGAAAATGTAAAAGAGAAAATCCAATCCAAATGGGGTCGTTTCCTCACTTTTGCTCATCGACTGGTATTATTCGAACACTCTGGATTACACCAATCAATCATTGCCCTTAGTAGCCCGTATCATGTGATGGATCATCCACTTTAGTAAAAGTGCTCTTCATTGGTTTCCAATTCTTGTGCTTGTGGACCCTCAAATTCTACCACTTTAGGTCAAACAAAACTTAGTTTCCTTCTTTTTTTGAAGTTCAAATTTGTTTACGGGTAATACTTACGAGATTTTTCCATTTTTATACGTTTTCTGACAGTTAATGTGTACTTATTAAACATTATATAATATGGTCAAACCGAAATACTTAAGATCTGAAATCGAAACCTACTACACACATAAACCCCTGATTTTTACCCAAACTCCTTTTACTTTAGATATTTCAAACATTTCAGAAATTAAATTTAGTCGCTATCATATAGAAAAGAAGGCCCTTTGTTCTCATTTCCCTTCCTCAATTCTTGCGAGCACCCTTTTGGGACCGTACCAAATTACATGTTGTATTTGGTATGGTGCCTAGGGCGCATATAGAATTAAATCACTCGGCATTGCCGCAAAGTTCGATTTTCATGTGCCAACTAAGAACCCCACAACACTAAAAATATTAAACTAAATAAAGGATAAACTCACCCCCAAAAAAAAGTTTAATTAAGTAATAAGTAATTAAGCAAAGTGAGTTTAATTACCTCAATGAAGACTGTCTTCAAGACTCTCCCAGAGAAAGCAGTAATATTTGCTGTAATGATTTTGAGCTTCAAAGATTCGAAGACCTCACACAATTTTACCATTGTGTCCGTTCTTTTGCTGCATGTCAAGCTAGCCACCACTGTCTTTTCCCCCATGTATGTAACCCTAAGCTGTAAAGTGTAACACAAAAATTAATTAATCAATGGATTACATATAATATTACATTATTATATAGTTTTCAAAAACAATAGTGCTATTCACACCCCCTCAAATTGTATTATACACTCTTCTAGAAGGTGCAGATGACGTTGTCTTATAATGACAGTATACTTGCAGTGCTCCTCTGATACAAGTGCATGAAGCTTTCCGGAGAAAAACTTGTGTGAAACAGGAATGATATTATTTTACTATTTACAGTCAATTACGGTATGTAAAGTGAAAAATTTATCACAATATGACATACTGTGATTGAACCGGAATAGCGAAATAATGCTATCCCCGTTCTACATAAATGTTTCTCAGATGGGGATACATTTAATTGATCAAGATTTAACAGAGAAGGATTGACTTACTTCAAGCACTTCAATGGTGGAAGTTCTCGATCCTCCGGAATCATAGAGCTGCTCAATTTTCTTCTTCTTTGACCTCAACAAGACTGGTAGCTCTTGATCAAATTCAGAACCCAGATTTTTCTTTGATCTCCCAGATTCTAGCTCCCCTATCTCTGTCTGAATTCTTCTTTCTTGTTCATGAAGCTCCTGGATGTAGTCAATGGCGTCTTTGATTATAGAAGCCTTATCCATCTGTACCCCAAACCCAACAAACCAACCAAATTTTAAAAAAAAATCCCAAATCATCATGAACACTTTTTTTTCTTCTTCTTGAAAATAAAAATAAAATAAAATAAAACAATGGGTCATATATTAATATTTGATAATATATATATATTATAATGGGCAAGCAAACAAGCAAGCAATAATTAAGGAAATAATATTGTATGGCCAAAACCTTGCTTATTTTGGGGACCACTGCTCTAAGAGCGAAGAGCCTTTCGTTGAGCTTCTTCCTCCTGTTCCTTTCAGACACAATGTTTTTGGAGGCCATGGAAGAAGCTCCTCCATCTGGTGAGCTGGAATCATAGTACCCAGAAAAAGCCTCATCCAATCCCCAGCTGCCATGACAAAAATTGGAGTAAAAAACGGCAGATATATATATATATATATATATAAATTATGAAAGCTTATTAGAACATTAAGATAAATTAAGCTCCATAATTAATAATATATAAACCTGTCAAGCTCTTCGTTTTGGAGGAACATACTGGTTTCCCAGTAATGTTTGTACTCATCACCAATGTTGTCCATGGCTGCTCAGAGAGTCTGATGAGAGAGAGAGAGAGAGAGAGAGAGAGATGGGATTTGTATTGTTGATGAAAAAGCAAAGGTACTTGGGTTGTTTTTTAGTCACAGTGGGGGTGGGGAGGGGAGAGGGAGTGAGTTGAGGGGATTTTTATAAGTGGAGAAAAAATCTGAATTCATACACGTGGGAAGAGGGAAGCAGGGATGCTACTTCGTGGAATGATGTGAACCGTCGATTGACTGGATGAATATTGAAAACGTTGGTCTACAAGGCCGCGTAGGACACACTATAAAAAACCTGAACTGCCTTCTCCTTTAGCAACGACAACAACCAAAACGATAAATACATATTAAATAATAATAAATAAACAAATGACTGTGCTGGCTACCTTTACTCTCTCTATCCATTACACAAGGCGCGTGCCTTCAATCGCCCTAATAATTGGGGTACTTACAAATTTTTGTTCTTCGGGTGTGGTACAGAAGAAAGTCTTCCACGCGCCCGTCACATGAGTGGCTCTTATAAACTTTGTGTGGATCATCACCCCAGAGAAACGAAAGGAAAATATATATTGATATTGATATATTACTTGGGTCTACACAAACCGAGATTTAAGTTTTTCTCTATATTTAAAAACAAAGGCTGAGTTCAGTGAAACATTGATTTGCATACCAGTGGTCTCATGTTCAAACTTTCATAACATCTTAATAGTGTGTGTAAAACTCCTTCTCTACTTATAATTAAGATTATCTCTCGTATTAGAAAAAAAAAGGCATGAATCATGTACTTAGAAAAACGAAAGAGAACAAAAAGGTATATTAGCCTACCTTTTAGTATGACTTCCACTCAATTCGAGTTAACCAGTTTGATTTCACTTATACTTTAAATGTGAGGTTTTTAAAATAAATACAAGTGATAGTCTAAACTAAAAAAGGGAAGGGGGTTTTTCAAGATGTCATGGGATTCAAACTTGAGACGATCTATTAACAAGTGAAGGCCCTTTTGCATTGGACCAGATCTCATTGACTTTAAATGCGATAATTTATTGAAACAACTGGATTCAATTTAGACTTGAATACGCGCGATGATTGAGACAACTCAATTTAGACTTGGAATACTAGGTGAACATTGAGACAAAACTCAATTCGTATCCAAATATGAACAAACTCCGTTTGACTTAGACTTTAATGTAAGTCAATTCATTCCAACCCTAAGGTAAAGTTAGGTCCAATTTTTATTTTATTCTAATTTATTTTTTTCTCTTTCTAGGTAAATTTTTTGTCTAGTTTCTTTTTCGTTTATTAAACAAGGGTAAATTTTGAGTTTATGTGTCATGATTTTAATGGTTGTTAAAGAGGGTCAATAAAGCACATTTTTGCCCATGCAAATGAGACCCTTCAAATTTTTTATGAAATTGAGACGAAAATTTTCTAACTTCATTAAGACTCCGCCATCCATTCCAAAAATCATCTCGGGATCCTTCGCCTTCAGTCCCGTTTGGTTCACGGAACGAATTTGAGGGGAAATCATTTCTCATGTCATTTCCTAAGAAATGGGAAATAGAAGATTCATTTTCCATGTTTGGTAATGTTGGGAAAGTAACCGAGAGATATCACTTTATTTCCTTTCCCATATTTGTTTTGAGAAGGAATGAAAAACAAAGTTTGTATAAATTTGCAATTATACCCATATTAAATCAAATAAAAAAAATAATGCATTTAATGATATATTGTAATTCTAAATTGTTAATAGGGACAAAATGGTCATGAAAAATGTTTATTTAATATTGGCTCATTTTCCCAAACTTTCCCATGATGAGGGAAAACAAAATCCAAGTTGGGAGGATGACTTCACTTTCCCCCTACTTTCCCATAGGCTAGACAACAATTTCCCATGCCTGGACTTACCAAACATGGGAAAGCAATTGATTTCCCATCCCCAAGTCTCCTTTCCCATAAACCAAACGGGGCCAAAGGGCTTCGCATAGAGGCCCTGTTTGGTTCATGGAATGAAATTGAGGGGAAATCATTTCTCATGTTATTCCTCAAGGAATGAGAATTGAAGATTCATTTCCCACGTTTGGTAATGCTGGGAAAGTAATATGGAAATATCATTTTATTTCCTTTCCCATGTTTGTTTTGAGTAGGAATGGAAAACAAAGTTGTATAAATTTTCAATTATGCCCATATTAAATCAAATAAAAAAAATGCATTTAATGATATATCATAATTCTAAATTATTAATGGGGATAAAATGGTCATAAAAAATATGTATTTAATATTAGCTCATTTTCCCAAACTTTCCCATGAGGAGGGAAAACAAAACCCAAGTTGGGAGGATGGCTTCACTTTCCCCTCTACTTTCCCATGAGCCAGGCAACGATTTCTCATATCTAGACTACCAAACATGGAAAAACAATTGATTTCCCATTCCCAAGTCTCCTTTCCCATGAACCAAACGGGGCCAGAGGGGAGTGGTTTCCAACAATGGGGATTCCAAGCCAACCCTAGTGATCCGACCATGTTTCCATCAACTTTATATTCGTAAGGCCCCTATCTAGCCTCTCTTGGAGGTCCATTTCTCCATTATACATGCTAGCCTACGTAAACTCATTCCCTTTAAACCCAATATCCAAGAGCTGGTGTTGTTATATCAATAAAATCCTTGAGAAAATCTAACTCTACTATTGCACCATGGAGTACCACCATTTTTCTTATGTTGCCATACTAACTCGTTAAAGTCCCCTAAGAACACCATAGAGGGATTTTGAGAGCGAATAAACTCTCTCAAAGATTGGACTATCAGAGCAGTCCCTAGACTCTCACAGTTCCATGAAAGTCTTTGAAAAAACTTTGCTAAAAGTCTTTTACATGCCATAATTGGACTACTTTTCAAAATATTCCTAATTTTCATTTTAGTATTTTGATTTACAATCTTATTATTTTCACCTACAAATCGGAGAAGATAATTGGAACTCACAAGAACATAAATATGTTTTGCATTTGACCAAAAAAAAAAGGTGTTGCATGTTTTGTACTCGTGATATACCAATGGTTCTAATATCTACATAGGATGGTTGCACATCAACATTAATTTAGTGCATGTTGTCTAGTTGTATGAGAGGAGAGGAGCACTTTGGGCCAAGGATAATAAACGGGAAATATTAAGACCTTTTTATTTGTTTATCTATATATATAAGGTGAATATTTAAAATAACATCAGACAATAGATTCTATTTTTTTGGAACAAAACCACCCATTATCTTTTTTAATTCTTTAAAAAAAAATCAATTGACACACGCGTGCCAAGGACTAGTATAGATAAGATTGGGACTTATCATATGAAAGAATGTCAAATGAACCTTAGAAAACTATCAACAATTTTGACCAACCCCTTCTACAAGGTATACTATTTTAAATAATGAGAAAATGGGAAATTTGGAAATGTAACCTAAGTAAAATTTTTTTTTCTTTCAAGATTTAGAAATATAGTAATTCGAGTTCTTCAAGCAATGCACAATCCTTTTTGAGGCTCATTGAGCAATGCTCGAACCCCCTCGAATGGTTAAAATTCTCAAAATCTAAAATTTGGGCTAAAAATATTTGAACTGTCCAAATTTTGGTTACTTTTTAAAATAAATTTAATTGATGTCTAAAAGTTTTATAATTGAGGCATAGCTAGCCGCAATACTATTTCACAAATGGGTAATAATTTTCTGTGATAGTAAAGTTGTTATGATTGCGGGTGCTCACGAAATAGTAAAATTGATATGATTGCTTTTATTATTATTTTTCTAGTCCAAGTGATTAGAGCAACTCCACCCCTTTGTCCTTTGCCATGGCAAGGGGGGGCTAGGGCAGCCACTATTCACGTGAATAGTTGCTACCCTTGCAAAAGGTTGTGGTATTTTCACCAATTGCCATGGCAACAACTATTCACATGAGATATGAGGAGAGAAATTTGTATAGAGTTTTGGTGTGGGAAGTGAAAACTACAACTAAGTATTTATTTTTAAAAAATCTGAAATTTTTTGTAGATTTTTTTCAATTTTTGTTGTTGCTGACGTCAGCAAACTGGGGTTGGAACTAAGGCAGTTCTTGCCTGAGGGCTAGCCTGGGTTCGTGGGCCCTATCTCCTGCCAGGGCTAGCCTTGCCGCTGGAAACAAGATTTTGGCCCAAACACACCCCCCCGCCCAGCCCTCCCCTTAGGAGCATCGGTGGAATCACTCTTAGGGGAGGGGAGTTTACACACAAATATTCATTAGGTGCCTGAGAGTTTCGAATTTCTACCCATATAAATAAAGGTGAAAGAATTAAATCAACTAAACTATACCCCATTGACACTATACTATTTGGAGGAATAATTGACCATGATTCATAGCCGTGATGACTAACCGACCATCTTTGGTCAAAACAAAAAAATCAAACTTAATTAATGAAGAGAATTATAGCTTCTCTATAGAAGAGATGAGGAAATTAGTGCTACATGGAATTTAGCTTCTCTACATCTACAATGGGAATCCAACAAAGTTGTGTCAAAATCTAAAACATTATAATCATTGGTTCGAAACGTGTAAATTATATGTACACAAGAATAAGGCTAGGCATTTAGACCCGAAACCCGGCCAACCCGGCCAAAACCAAACCGATGGGTTGGGTTGGTTTGGTTTTTTTTATATTTTTTTTTGTCATCGGTTTGAACCCAAACTAAACCGAAATATATGATTCGGTGTACGGTTTGCAATATTCAAACCCACGGTTTAACCAAACCAAACCGAAGATATTAAAAAATATTATATATAATATTATTATAAGAAATATATATATAATACATAGTTCAATCTTTCTTTTTCTTCTCTGTCAATCTCTCCGTTTGTCTTGTCTTCATCAGTCCCTCTCTCTCTATTTTTATTTTCTCATTCTTCTTATATATGTCTTCACGCCCTCTCCCCGTCTCCCTTTTCTTCTTTTTTCATTCTTCTTCTTCTCTCTCCTTTCTTTTTCT